GGCCTTCCCATGTGCATCCCTTCCCTGACCGAGAGGACTGGTGGGGAGAGCCTGAGCATGCCATCAGAAACTGATCGTCACGGCAATACATGTGAAACGAGGTATCGACGCTCCGAAATGCCTCGTCATGTAAACATGATAATTTGTCCAGGCACCTTCTGAAATCCAAGAAAAAACATGAAGAACTTCCGCATGTGTGCCTGTGTGCGTTGCCTTGTTTAAGTGTGTCCTTTTTGTTCAGGGAATTTCCTCAAAATGGCTTCGGTTTCCCTTTAATGCCACCCATGTGTGTGTGTGTGTGTTTTTTGTTTTTTAGTTTGTGTGTTTGTGCCGCGGTGTTGGTATTTTCCGCATGTGCGCCTTCGACGTGGCATCCCAGGCCACGTGACAGAGGCGCGCCCGACGGCAAGCCCCGTTTTTGTGTGTGTTTTTTTGCGGAACGACCCGCAGAAGGGCATCCTTGCCATGGGAATGTCCAATTGCTTTGATCAATAGTGTCTCAGTTGCCCAAAGCCGACCTTTTAACCTTTTGGTTTTCCAGTTTTGGTCCATTCTTAGTCATGGCCCCAAATAGTGAACCTTTCATTTCTGGGTCCTTTGGGCAAGTGAGCTGTGGATGGACGAACTCAATTTCGCACCACTTTGGAGCCATGGGAAACCATTGTTTGTTGGTATTTACAGGGAATCCTCATGCCAGGGTTTGTTAGGTGGTACGGGAGTTCGTCCATCCACAGTATGTGTCTATTTCTTACATCATGTTTGCAGCGGGCTTCAGCAAATGGAAGGTAAAGATCCTTTGGGGATGTCTTCATGGAATTATATGTACATGTGCAGATCGAGTTGTTGCTGGCATGTTCTTGTTTACCTGATACGCATCAACTCACTAGAGAGGCTGAAAGGACTCACCAAAAGGGGCCACGCGAGATCTTGATGGCTGGTTGCCCAGGACGAAGCCAGAGAGAGGGAGAGAGAGAAACAAGAAGAGCCTTGTTTTCCAAAGCTGATGAACAACCAAAGTCGCGACAAGGCAATGAAATGGAGAGATCAGCCAATTGACAGAGTCTTGAGCATATGCCGTGAAGCACAGAATGATTAAAACCGCGGAGCCCTGATCAGCATTGGCTTGATTTCAGATTCTCCTGCTGACTTGAGCTCCTGGTGGTGCTCGAAGGGGTCCCGAGAAATTCTGTGTTTGGCTCCTGCAGAAAAGCACAACTCCTTCGTGTCAACCAGACGCGCTGAAGAAGTGTTCCCGTTGCCTAGCTGAATTTCAAGGAGACTCCGAAGTCACTGTATGGCTTGCTAGCTTGGAATGACATCATGAAAAAGGGACACAAGGATGATGCCTCTTTCTCGGCACAAAGCTTCCCAAAATATGGTTCCGATCCTTGCGTCGACTCCTCATGCCGCTGCCCAACTCATTTGTCGCGGCGCCGCTGCGGAGGTGAGCGTGGTCCATTCACAAGGGAACAAAGACAAAAAAACTCTGACGAGAGTGATAAATTGGTTATCAAAGTGATCAGGGACTGTGCCGATGGGGCATTGTTGCCGGCATCTTACCCTTCTGCGGGTATATCAAAGCTGCTGGTGTCCCTTAAAAAACCAACCAAACAAGGGTATCAACTCAAAGACGAGCCACTCGGATGTGGGTTTCACGGACTGTGCCTGAGGTGAGTGGCCCTACCCTTCACTCTTGGGCAGGCACTGGGCGCTTCGGGACGGACCTCTGGAGGTGGCGCTTTGGTTCCTAGGCCGAGAACCTCACAGACTTTGTCAGTTAGAATGGCGCTGGCATTTGGGAAAGATGTCAAATCCCAGGTTCATGTGCTAGGTCTTGGCGGGCTTGCGTGGTTGCTAGCTCAAGCAAGTTGATGCCCTGCCAATTTGTGTCAAACTTGACAGTTTTTGGTTTAAGTGACTTGACTTTTGACCCAGCAAGGCGAGAGCAAAGAGAACATGGCGTTTGTTTCAAGCACAGAGGCTTGACTTGCTGTTGCCAGACCTGGGGACTACTCGATTTTAATCAGAAGGGATCTGTTTTTGGAAGTCGTCTTGTCTATTGCCATCTCATTTGGATTTGGGTAAGTGTTGATGTCTGGATTGAGGCGTCAATTGTTTGAACTTGTCGCGGTGGGACCGACAGGTTTTGATTCACTCATGGCACATGGTAGCTCCAGTGGCCTGGCATGGTGGCCTGAGTAGCGGCCTGGCAAAGTTACTGCTCCAAAGGTAGCTGACATGTGCACATGCAGCATTGCCATGCTGAAAAAGCCCGCCAGGCTCTTCCAAGCCACCAACTGATACCGGTACCCCCGACCAAGATTAACTCCCCTTGCCCGGCTCTCAAGACCACGAGGGCAACAGCAGCAAAGGCACATTTAGTGTCTTTGGTTTAGGGGACCCCCAAAGTAGTGGTTGTCGTCTTGGTTTCCCTTTAGAAACAGACACGCCCATTCGAAGATCGGACAGCACTCGTGGCCAGAGCTTTTGTTGCCAGACCTTCGGCGCGGTGTGGGAGGCTGAAGGAGATGTCGGGAGGGGCTGGGGATATGTGGCTCTCAGCGCTGTCAACCCGCAGAAGCACCCGTCCCATGCATGAGACGGGGGGTACGGCCGATAAAGGAACCTTTCCCCATACATGTTGCTTTGCGCGGGTACGAGGAAATAATGCATACGTATAGCGGATGCCACCCCATTTGCCCACGTTTTGTACTATCCGAAGGGGCATTGTGCAACACCCGTCCCTGTGGCTTGCAAGCGCGTTGCTGTCGCACAATAGGATTCAAGGATGCCCCCTGTGACACGTACCTGTGCAGAACCTTTCTTCACTCAACAGGCTGAATTTAAGCATGGCTAAAGTTTTTGGATGTGATTGGTCCAGTTCAAAGAGAATGCAAGCAGAAGCCAGCCAAAGCATGTTTCTTACGTGCAAGCGGGAGAAAGCACAACTTGCTACTTTTCGTTGACTCGATTCCATTTGTCCAATGCAATCTGAAAGGGCTAATCTTCGTGGGTCTCACCTGTGCGTACACAGTCCTTCAGTTCTTTCCTTGCAGAGATTGACAGTTTTTCAGAAAGCAGGTTAAGTGGTTCAGCGCCGCTTCCTTTTTTTCACATGGCTACATGTCTAAACGTTGGCCGTGCAGATGTACCCCAACTGCGTGACCAGCTTGGACAGAACAAAGCTAGCCCTACCCTACACCTATCTGATGAAAAGTCAACGAGCTATTTGGGAAAGATTGCAAGCCTCCCAGGAGAGTGATGATGCGTGGAGGCCTACCCTTTGTGATGAAGCTGTCAATACTGGGGCTCCATGAGACGAAGCCAGCTGGATGCCCTGTGGATCAATCCGTGCCGCATCCATCCCAGTTTGCTCCCAGATGTCGGTTTCTGCGCATTTTGGTGTGCGAGCTCACCGGTTCGGGGGCTTCGTGGGGGGGCGGGGAAGTATAAAACTAGTTCAGCGTGATATCGGTCCTTTACTTGAGGGTCCCTTTTCAGGTTTGTGGATTGGTTTCGGCTGAGGGCTGTGATCTTTGGCGCGCTGGTCCAGGCAAGCCCCCTTTACACTTGAGGAGGGATCCCCCCAAGGATGGGACAAGGAGTTTTCTTTTGCCTTTGCCAAATCGATGCCTTGGCACATTCCCTGAGGCTTTGAGTCAGAGGCTGCATTTGCAATCGCCTCGTTTTCCCCTTCACCGCTTGGCTTCAGGGTTAGCCTAACCCGTCACATTCCAAACAATTCTGATATCCTTGTCTCTTAGGTTTCCACAGAGAAAGTAGTGTGTACGTGCAACCAACATCCAAGCAATGCATCCACATGAAGGTAACACCCCGCTTACCTCCGGGGATTGGCCCAGGCGGTGCGCATTCCTTTGGTTTTCTTCTCGGAGACTGGGAGCTCCATTTCGAGGCCTCAGATCTTTGGGCATACGTTTTAACCGTGCGCAGGGGGAGCAAACGCAAGGAAGTAATAGCGTCGAAGCTTCCGCTCAATTCGCCCAAGACAAATCAAATGAGAGTGAAAGGAGCCAAGTAACCCTTCAATGGCAGCCCATGGCTTAGGAGCATGGCTCTGGGGCGATGGCTTCTTTCTTTCAGGGCACCAAATCCCGAGCCGTCCCGAGTCGCAGCTCCAAGCCGTCCCGAATCGGCAGAAGGGGTGCACTGAGGCGCTTGCGATGATCGCAGCGCAGGAGGGGATGGGTTTGCGAAGAGTCTTGGCCGTGGGTCAACACCAATGCACCACGCATTTTAGAACCTATTTTAGTGGGGATTGGGATGTTCACTGGGGGTACGTGGTTTTGACCCATAGCCACTTGATAGGCAAATTCCTGAGAACAAGCAATCGAAATGTCCAGGGTGCGATGTTTGCCGTAGGTGTGTAGTTTGGTTGGCTTTGACAGCTGTTTGATTCCCTTGGCTGATGCCAGTTGAGGCGATGCATTGCGATCTAAGTGCACGAGGCTTGAACTTAGCGCCTGGGTGAGCAGGTTGCCAACCCTAAACCATTCTTCACATGGGCCTCGCCAATGAGCGAAAGCTTGGCCAAAGGCTGTCTTGGTGGTTGCTTGGCCCCGTTTTCATTCCGATTGCGTTGAACATAAGGGCAGGTTCTTTGTTTCGGGGCGCTGAAGCTGATTCACTGATGCCTTGTGCACGCGCAATCGACTGCCAGCCCCAGGAAGAAGTGATCAAGGGCCTCTATGCACGCTGTCAGATGTTGGAGGCTCGGAAAAGTTGCCAACGGATCTAGGGAATGGATTTGGTTCGGAGTGCCTCAACTAATCGGTGATTGATATCTACTGCTGCTTTGTCGATTTGACGGTTTCGGTTGCAAACCCGAAACGAAAGATCTGTAGCACAAAGCCTATTTTGCCAGTCGTGTGCTCCCCTTTTGCTGGCAACGGGAAACTCGCAAAGAAACATGGTTTGGTGCTCGGCTTCTTTTGGAGCCAGCGTTTTCATGCGCCTCGAACTGCTCAACTTGACACTCGCTCATGGCAGTGGCTTTTGGCACAACGGGTGTCCTCATTTCTCGCCGGTGTACCTTGCCTCGTCACGCACAGGTTGGGCTCCAACTTGGAAAGAGGCAAAAGCACAGCAAGTTGCTCCAGCAGATGTTTATAAATAAGTGTGTAATTATACATGGTATGTGCGTGTGTGTTTGTGTGTGTGCAATGGTATGCATATACGGACGATGGGACTTACATATACATGTTGTTTTTTGTTTAATGATGTTTGTTTGTGCATTATGTCATACTCATATAAGCGGTCATGTGCAAATGTTGCCTCATGGAGCCTCATAAACATGCTTCAAAGGTGTGAACCATTGGCAGCAGTCGCGAGCTCAACCTTAGTTCTGAACAGCTGGTTGGCGCATGATTTGGGTACGCGCATGTGCGCGTTTCAACTAAGAATCCCTCTTGAAGGGCTGGCTACATGTCAACGTCCTTTCAGACCAAAGGAAGCTTTCTACACTCCCGCAGGTAAAAAAGGAGCCTTCTCATTGTAAAACAACCTTCGAACAGGTTAGGGGGAAAATTTGGAAACCAGCTTCCCTCATATTGGTGGTCATTGGTTTGGAGGTTCAATTCGCGAAACCACCAATCAAAGCCACTCAAATATTTCCTGATAAGGTTTCTAACAGGTAGGGCTGTAAAGGAGCCTTACCAGCGGGAATTCCCAATGCCCTAGATCAGGTCCACTTGGTTTGGATTGGGGACTGAATCGCAGACCAACGACGCGATCCCAATTTGTGGGATGATTTCCCCCCACTCCCCCCCCCACTCCAGCCTTGTTTCTTGCACCCCCACCCCCCTTCCACCCCCCCTTCCACCCCCCCTTCCACCCCCCCTTCCACCCCCCCTTCCACCCCCCCTTCCACCCCTCCACCCCCCCCCCTCCCCCGCTCCACTGCCCACTTCCCACTTCCCCCGCCTCTCACTCCCACTCCCCCCCATCCTGCCTTGCACCCCCCCCCCCCAGCCCCCCTTTGGAGGGGAGGGCTACCCGGGCAACGGGCTGCGCAGGCCCTGGCGGCGCGCCAGCGCACGGAGCTCGAAGCGCAGGCGCCGGGCGCCGGGCTTCGCATGAAGCGCGGGGTGTCCTCAAAACGCCCCGCGGGATGGGGGAGGGGGGGGGAGGGGTGGGGGGGGGCAGGCGGTTTTCCGCCAAACCATTGCACACCTTTTAGTTTGTTGGTTTTTTTGTTTCGGGGGGAGGGAGAGTTATTGCCCTCTACAAATTAAAGAGCCAGAGAACCCCCACATGCCAAGCTTTTTGCAAAGCGGGCCACTTTGCTGGATGTGTTTCATAGTGAATAGGTCATGTTAGTGAGTTAGAATTAAGTGAATGAGTGTAAGTTGAGTGAGTGAGTACGTAATTGTAAGTTAATGAGAATAAGTTGCGTGAGAAAGAGTAAGTAGGCCTAAGTGGAGTGAGCGAGAGTGAGAGTGGTTGAAAGTCAGCGAGTGTAATTTGAGTGAGTGAGAGTAAATATATGTATAAATCAGTGAGTGTAAGCTGAGTGAGCCAGAGTAAGCATGTAAGGTGAGTGATTCAGAGTGGCTGAAAGTCAGCGAGTGTAAGTTGAGTGAGCGAGAATAAGTATGTGTAATTTTGTGCGTGTAAAACAAGAGCTTAAGTTGAATCAGCGAAGTATGTGTCAGTCAGCGAGTGTAAGTTGAGTAAGTGAGAGTGAATTTGTGTAAGTCAGCGGGTGCGAGTTGAGCGCATGAGAGAAAGGAGGAGGAAGCGAGCGTGAAGGAGAGCGGCGCGGAGGACGACATTAAACGTAAGAACTCCCCACAAAAGAATGTGGGGAGAGCTAAATGAGGTGGTAACTTTGAGGTTGTCACTCTGGACCCACCCCCTTTCAAGGTTCTCATATCCTCAAATTCCTGCAGCTCTTCTCTAAGAAGAATCCGTGGATTGGCAAGCCGCAAGCCGCAGGCCACGACTGGCGCCTGAGCTTAAGCAAGGGCTAGCTTGCTTGTTTCGGCGCGAAAGGGCATGATGTTCAAAGGTTTGTGGGTGTGTTGGTGGTTTGGTCGTTCAAAAAGAAGTTCAGGAACCATAGCTTGATGTTATTGGTCCATTTCTTGGCAGCACGACTTCATGCCGGCACGTGAATAAAACAAAATGCACGGGGGCATGGGGGCGGGGGCCCAGGCATGCCCATTTGGGGGCGGGCAAATGCGCAAAAAAAAATGGGTCAGTAATGCTGCGTATCCTTTGAGGGCTTGCTTCTGCACACCAAGCCTGAGACATTTCAATCACCCACAAGGTGCCTGACCGGGCAAAGTTGGAGTTTGTTAGGAACCCTGGCAATGACCTTTCCCCAAAAGTGCAGGATCCCCTCTAAAAAGCTGTATTTGTCCCGACCGTGGAGATAGCCTGAGCAGGTCCCCACTCTGAGCTTTTTGCGTTTCGTTTTCAGCGTGCTTTGAGAGTCGTCGTGGAAGGTGTGAGAAGTCAGGAAGACTCTGGGGAGAAATCTATTCCACGCTTTTCACACCAGTAGCTCTTACAAAGCCAACCTAAAAGGTCTCCAGGAGATCCTTTTGCAGCTCCTTTGTGGGTCACCTCGTTCTTTAGCTGTCAAGGTGCTTTTGAAACGGGGGGCACTTCCCGAGCTCCTGGCGTCGGAGGCTTTGCCTGGCGCAGCGCGGCCCTCGGATCGAGACGTCGCCCGGTAGGGATGAGAGGAGAAGGCCATAGTTTGGTCAGGAACCAAGGAGCGAAAACGAGGAGTTTGAGGAGTTGGGCCAGTTTTGGAGCATCCCAGTCTGTGGAAAGAGCGCTTTGGTTGCGAGTGGGCGAGAACTGCCTTTTTCTTCGGCTGCGACTTGCTTGCTGCCCAGCGAGGGGGAATTTCGGGAGAAAAAAGAACATGGGCAGTTCACGGCATTTTCTCGCTTCCACAGTCCGAAAGCCTGGCTTCACGTGGCTTCGGAAAGCGCTGGGCGGCCAACATCTGCCCCCCCTCCCCCCCCCCCAGCTGAGGCGGCAAAGCGGTACCCTCGGTGGAAGCCCAAAGCTCTGGGGCCTGGCCGATGCGGGAAGCGCTTGGTGGCGTTCTTTTCCCGAAGCAAAAGCTCGGGTTTTGGTATGAGAAAGGGGCTCGGCTCGCGCGCGTTTGGGGGGATTTTCGTTTTTTTTTTTTTTTTGTGGGGGGGGGGGAGGGAGTGGCTTTTTTCTCTGAGGGGGGTGAGGGAGGGATTTTCTTTATTGTTTGGAGTTGACATCAGCCTGTTGTCGGTGCCAAAGCTCAAAGGACTTCCCGCGCAAGGTATCAGCCCCCAAGCCAAGCCGAACTGGTTTGCACCAAGGAAGCCACCTGAGTGGAATCCTTCTTTGAGGGCGTTTCCATGAAAATGACCCTCATCGTGTTGCAGCCCTCACGCCGAGGAAAGCAAGACCGAAAGAGCAGCCGCAGGCATAGCTCAGAAGGTCTTGTGCAAGGCGAGCGAATTCCGGTCAGTGCATCTGGTGGCCTTTTCAGGGCCCTTCGGCATGCTCCAGGCTTGGGCTTTAAGCCCTGGCAAGGTTTGGATCGGAGTTCCTGGTTGAGCTTGCTGCGTTAACGTGGGGTGAATAATTGCAAGTAAGTTTCGCCCATTGGGCGACTCAGCCGGGCCAGAAGTTAGATCCAAGAGGTGTTCCCTGCAGTCATCTAAAGATTGCATAGTGGATAGTAGGGGTAAGATCTTACGCCTATGTTCTGTTTGGCAAGTTGTGTGCCCCACCCCCTCCCCCCCCCCCAGTGACCAGCAAAAGGTTCAACTTCTTGCCGTGGGGGCGACAGTCAGAGAGCGAGATCCTTGGGAGAGATCCAAGATGCTGCGTGCCTCGAAGGATCCAGCAATCTGGTGCACGCGGAACTTTTGTGGAACAAACCTCTTGGGCGTTCAATCAAGAACACAGCTAGGTCCCCCAGTAGTGCACTTTCACCCTTTTTTTGGGGGAAGGTTCCCCTACTAAAATAGACTAGAGAGAAAAAGGGCACCCTTACTCTAACCTCTCTACTGGAAGACCCAGACAGGTCTTGGGGTTGCGCAGGTCTTGGTCATGCTTTTCCGGAAGATGCCATGCTCTTCAACACTGAATCAAGTCCTGGATTGCTTCGGGCGTAGCACTTCTATCATGTCCACCTTCTCTGTTCTGTCCATTTGACACACCGTTGCTGTGGTTGAAATGGGGCCATTCCTGCCTATGTGTGAATGTGTGTTGATTCCTTCAAACCTAGGTCCAGGGCTCCTCAAGGTTGAATTTCCGCAAGCCTCCAGTGGGGGCTTCTTGTGTTTTGGGAGGGTTCCCTTTCAAATCGAACCAAGGAAAAGTGAGTGCCCGATTTTTGCATGGCAACGGGTCGGGGTAGCCGCATCAACGAAGGCTTTGCAAGCCATGTTCTTCAGGAGTACCAGCACCCCTTACGCTCCACACCTACGATGGCACTCCGCAAGAACCTCAGCCTGTGCCACTTTGTCTCTGTGTGTCTGTGTGCGTGCATGTTCGCTCCAAGATATTTCCGTCTCGGAAAGTATCAAACGCATTAAAGTGATGGTGAGGCACATTGCAACCTCTCCACGATCCACCATGCCGCTGAAGTCAGACAACATGTTCATGTTGCCGAAATCTAGAAATGGCTGTGGGTCAAAACCAATGGGATCCCATTTTGGGGTAGGTGAATTCACCACCTATTTTAGTGGTTGGATTGGTTGATGTTCACTGGGGGTACGATTTGGCTTTTGACCCATGGCTAACTCTACCGCTATTGGGTTGGATCTTTAGACTTTAACTTTTTGGAAAATAAAGGTGTTTTCCACTAACCCCCAAAAAGTTAAACTTTTTGCAGGGGGTCAACAGCAACCAAGCCAAATCTGAGTGGCAGAACTGTGGGCACGTCAGCTCCAAGGCCGGCGCGCCACATCCCGACCAGAGCGAGGCGCCTTTCTCAGTCCGAAGAAGGCATGCACGAAGAGCACGTGAAAGCAGGTAAACTCGACTGCTGTTGGGTTGGATCTTTAGACTTTAACTTTTTGGATTCCGCTCATATTTCCTTTTAACCAGCAAAAAGTTGTTTTTTTGCTGGGGGGGGATCTACGGCAGTGCTGCTTTCCCAGAAGTGGATGATAGACATGTGGATCAGCCGAACTAAAAGCTGATTGGCCTTTGTCATGAGCCAAAGCGTCTAGTAAAACAATCTATGACTGGTAGATGCGGGCAGTGTCCGAGTACTCGATTTTAACCAATGAAAACCAGAAGAAAACACAGAAGAAAACACAGAAGGGGGTCAAAAGGTGCTGCGCAAAGTGATTCCTATCGGGCACTTGGGGCTTTTCTTCTACTGGTTGGTCAGATTCGACGGGCTGGTTTGTCCATGCGCATGCTGCCTTCCTAACCTTCTGGCTGGACATGGGGAACAAGATGAGCACGCCAATTAAGAAGCCAACATCCATTGGGTTGCCCTTTCTTGCTTTAGGCTGGTAGTGGATTTGGAAGAACGGGAATCTTTCTAAACCACCTCAAAGGGGTGAAGCCACTGCCAACATGCTTGGACATATAGGGGGAGTTGCTTAAAAATATTGAAGGTAGCCGTGTTCTTTAATGGCCAAAAAAGTGCCTTTGCCGGGTCTTCAGTAGCACTGACTGAAATGTGACAAAAGCCCTTTACTCTTCCTTTTCATGAACCACAGACCCAACAGGGGCCTCCATCCCCAACCAACAAGGGGCTGCGAATCGGAGTTGCACACAGGCACTTGATTGAAAAAGGCACAACATTGCACATGCCCTTCCATTTGATTAAGAATATGTTTTTTCCCCTGTTGGGTTCAAGGGAATGAAAAATGGTGTTGTTTGTGTCCCGGGGGCTGAAGCAAATGGAAGCACCTGTGACCATTTGTTGGCTCGCCCTGTCAGCCAGTGAGAATTCGACTCAGAGCGCCAGGCTGGGCTTCGCCGAATGAGGCGCCGGGCAGGGCCGGGCAAGGTGGCTTCCATGAAACTGGCACGGAGGATATTACCAGAGATAAAATCTTGCACTAGCTAGCAAGTTCTTGCGGAAGGCATGGTTTGTCTTCAAAAGCAGTGCAGACAGCGACATGTGATTCACATGATGTCTAATTGGCTTTCGCGGGTGCCCATCAATTTGGCACCTGGCTTGTTTGGTATTGCTTTGGGCAGTTTTCAGACACGAATGTGGGAGGATTTTGCATTGCTTCCTGAAACACAGGCCCTTCGCCGTCCACAACTTCTCTCACCTATCCTCCAGATTGGGTTTCTATCAGGATCCCTCTCACTCACCAGCCCAGACCCCGTTGCACTTTCAAAGCCTCGAGTGATTTAGGGGCTCTTTGTATACCATTGTGAACAAAAGCGATGATGTCATTTGGCGACAGGCCAGGCAACAGCAGTGCCGTGCGCCCTCAAGAATAGAACATACTTGAAGACGCACACCCGGAAACGTCAGGAGAAACCAGCATTCAAGCTGACATGTGCCTGTGTGTCAAAACCAATGGTACCATTTTGGGGTGGGTGCACCACTCATTTTAGTCTATTTAAGTGGGGATGTTCGCTGGGGGTACGGGATTTTTACCCATGGCCATGTGAACTCGTATACGTTACGGGCAGGTGCCATGCTAGGGTACTGACACAAAATCGTACTCAGGCTAGTGCCAGGAGATCCGTGAGCACGGCCCTCAGTGCTTTTGACGGGAGACCTTGGTGCTTTTGGGCCGCGCAAGCACACATCCAAAATGAATGTTGTGCGAAATGTTCTTCGGTCGAAAGCAGGAAGGTTATGGATAGTCAGAGCATGCAGCTGCACGGAGCCCAAGCCGCCAAAGGTTCAAGAGCCAATGAAGTTCCGAGGGATATTTTTGTAGATTGGGAAAGAGACATATTTTCCCCCTGTAGCCTTACGCCATGTTTCAGCATGCCCTCAACAGTGAAGGGTGCATTCAGGAGCAATGAATCGCTGACAGCGAGCCATGCTTCTATGTTGCTTTGTTGGTTCGGCTTGTCCAGTTTTAAAATTTGGGCAGACAAAACGAAAAGCCAACACGCCTTAGGCACGGCTAATTTAGGCGTTTAATCATGCCCATCAAACCCGCTTGAATTGATTGGGCTGCGAGGCAGCGGGAAAGCGGGAGAGCAGCACTCGTCCAAGGCTTGAGGATCACTGGGACCATAGGACCAAAGTGAAAGTTGTTTGGCATAGTTGATGAGTGAATCTTCGTGAATTGCAGCGAATGAGGGGGTTCGCATCAAAGGGCTATAGATATTGCTAGTCCTCAATGCGCCGAGTCACATGCTCCCCAGAGTGGCAAAAGCAAGGAGCGAAGTTGAAAAGTAAATGAGCCGAGAGCACTCGCATTCGCTGCGCTTCCCAGGCAATGCCGCACCTTTGTTTCAACAAGTTTGGGAGCACCGAAAAGGTGACGAGCTCTTCAGGATAGCCTTTGCATGACCGATACCAATGATTTCCTGGTGCAATTCCCTGCTAATTATCCACTAGACTTGGGAGCTGCTATTCCAATAGTGTGTGGGTAGAATCCGCGCTCCATGTTCAACGAGCATGACTGCACATGTATTTGGTCGCGCTACTCCTACCGAATGCGATGTCAGCGCTATTTGATTGTTGCGTGTTGTTTTTTTTGTTACAGGGGTGGTTGTCGTTTTTTGCCACCCTTCTGAAGCTGACAGAAGAGGCTTGTCAAGTCCTCATGAGGCTCGGCCATGCGGACACGGCGGGAGGCGCTCTCTGGACTTCAGTCGGATTCAGAGAGCACACCATCGAAGCTGCATGCGGAAGTCAAAGGAACGTTCGCCAGTTTCCAGTGGATTCCGCCCTTTTGTCCTTTCTCTTGGGAAGAGTTCCCCTAGAATTCATGCTTTGCCCTTCTCCTCAGCGGGACGGCCAGATTTTTGGCTTTGTCCTGGATGTGGGCTCCACTCACTCCAATTGGGGGGGTGTGATGGGGGGTGGGGTCTTGAGCAATGTGGCGGAACCAACCAAAGAAGGATGTCCTTTTTTCCCATGGCCACTGGGCATCTGAGTTCGCGGGTGGGCCAGTGTACACCAAAATAGCCTTCAACGTTGGTGTGTTGCTGCTTGCGCTTGCAAACGACGGCGTGTGAAATTGCCACATGTCGTCAAAAGCGGACCTCATTGCGCCAACACGGGCACACTTGCACATTGCAAATTACTGCCATTTATAAGAATATGTGTTTGTTTTCCCTTGTTGGCTTTGAAGGGCATCTATCACTACTGGTCATGCTTGATATATTCTCTTACGCACTTCAGCAAAGGCAAGATTTCCAGCATGAATGGGCATCGCTCTCAAAGTTCGGTTGTTGGTAGGCAGGATGATGTGCATGGAACATGCCTCATGTGAGAGATGCTTGGGATCTTCCATTGCTCTTTGGGACAAGAATAAAAAATACGATATGCCATGTTTCCAGGTAAAGCGGCTTGGTGTTTTCCTTGGATTGCAGTGTCTGGGTCGGTAGGTAGCAAATCGATCTTCACAGCTGTGCGCACGAAATGGAGTAGCGTGCGGAAAACGCTTTCTCACATTTCCCAGGTGTCAAGACTTTTGTTTGGGCGATCTTCCAGCAACATGGCAGTGATGTGGAGGCGTAGTGATGTGGAGGCATAGCTTAGGGACTTTGCCTGACGTAGAGACGTCCAGGACAAAGTCGTTTGGCTTCTCCATGGCGCTGCATCATACATGTGAAAAGAAGCTTGCTTCGCTGTAAAATAGAAACTACGTCAAAGCCACAAACAAGCAATAAGCAATTGTCCATTTCGGTGGGTTCAAGACAAAGATTTCCTATCGATCCAGTGGGCCTTAGGCAAACTTGCCTTCACGATCCTCGCCTGCGCCCGCCGATCCTTTCAGAGCATAGCAACGAGCCCATCGACTCAATCCGATGTCTTCACCATGCTCGCGGGGGCCTACCCGCAGTTCCAGATGCGGCCCCTTGGATCCAAAGCGCACACATTTCAGCGGCGGGGTTTTCCTGGGCGAATGTCCGGCTGGCCGAAAGCAAGCGAAGCAACCGGAGTGGCATGCGTGGGCGCGGCGGTTAGCTCATGGGCAGGAAAGCAGAATTCCGCCGGCATTGAGCCATTCAGGCATCACCAGCTGGTTGATACTGGCAAACGCCAGCGGTTGTGCTTGGCAAGTCTGCGGTTTGGTTCAGTGGTTTTGTAGGGATTGCTTGCCAGAGGCATGCAAGAGGCATCGGCCATGCAAGTGCGGCTCGCTTCATTTGCAGCGAGTCATCACCCATCTTAAAGCGCTTAAAGTGTGCTTGGCTGTTTGTTGGCCCCTTCGCCGACAACGGCATGTGCTGCGTGCGCGTCACGTTTCATATGTACTCTGCATGCAGCATCCAGGAATCCAGTGAGGCAAGATGTCGTTCAGCTACGTAGGACATAGGAGGCTTCGAAGAAGCAACAACGACAAGATGAAAGGCCCATACCATCGCAAAAACATGAACCACACATCGAGGCAGCAAAAGGAACTGCTAGTCACAACCCATCCACTTTGGCTTAGAGTGCTTTTCCACCCAATCTTCGAATGCTCATTTGACCGAGGCACAACTATGACTGGGGGTGGGACTCATCTGTGGTGCCGATGATGACCTGGCCTCAGCGCAGGCCCCAGATGCCAGAAGTCAGTCGCGGAACTTTGCAGCAAGTGGCACACTTGACCTCCACGCCTTGGTCCCTTAGGCAGGCCGCTCCTTCTGAGCACGACCTGCAGTTACAGGAGAGCCGCAGCTGGTGTTCAGTTGGGCGGTTGAGAGGGTGGAACCTTGCTCATGAGGTTGTCGCTCATGTAATGGTGCACGTGTTAACGTTTGCGATTGCTCGCGTTGCTTGTTGGATTGTCTGTCTCCTTCCTAGCTTGTTAGGGTGTTTGCATGATTCATTCGCTGCAGCCTGCTTGCTCCAAGTGGTTGGTTGAATTGAGTTGTTTGAGTTCTGCGTTGCTGAATGTTTGTTTGTTTGTTTGTTTGTTTGTTTGGTTTGGTTTGGTTTGGTTTTTGTTGGTTGGTTTGTTTGTCTGTCTGTTTGTTTGTTTGTTTGTTTGTTTGTTTGTTTGTTTGTTTGTTTGTGTGTTTGTTTGTTTGTTTGTTTGTTTGTGTGTGTGTGTGTTTGTTTGTTTGTTTGTGTGTTTGTTTGTTTGATTGTTTGCTTGTGTGTGTTTGTTTGTGTGTGTGTTTGTTTGTTTGATTGTTTGCTTGTGTGTGTTTGTTTTCTCTAGCTTGCTTGCTTGCTTGCTTGCTTTCTTGTGTGGTTGCTTGTTTGCTTGCTTGCTTGCGTGCGTCCGTGCGTGCGTGCGTGCTTGCTTGTATGCTCGTATGTTTTATTGTATGGTTGGTTGGTTGGTTGGTCGGTGTTGTTTGTTTCTTTGTTTCTGTGTTTGGTTTGCTGAATAGTTTGTTCATTTTTTGCGATTGCTTGCTTGCTGGCTGGCTGGCTTGCTGTCTTGCTGGCTTGCCTGCTTGTTTGTTTGTTTGGTTGGATTGTTTATTGTTTGGATGGCGTTCGATGATATGGAACGGTTGGATTGATTTTCCCGGCTTTCTCGACTTGCCAATTTCATCAGTTTGTAAAATGGATGGGTGGGTTAAGCGCCAAACTCAGTGCATTGATGTGTTGGTTCACTGACTGCTTGATTGATTGAGGTGCTTGATTGCTTGGTTGATTGATTTGAATGGTTTGGTTTGGTTGGTTTTGGTTGTTATTGATTGATTGATTGATTGATTGATTGATTGATTGATTGATTGATTGATTGATTGATTGATTGATTGATTGCTTGATTAATTGATTGTTTGATTGATTGATTGATGGATGGATTGATGGATTGATGGATTGATTGATTGATTGATTTGATTTGATTGATTGATTGATTGGTTGGTTGGTTGGTTGATTTGATTTGATTTGATTTGATTTGATTTGATTGTTTGTTTGGTTGATTGATTTGATTTGATTGATTGCTTGATTGATTGATGGATGGATGGATTGATTGATCGATCGATTTGATTGTTTGCTTGACTGGTTGGTTGATTGCTTCATTCACTCGACTGCGTGATTGATTACTTTTGTTTGTTGTGTTTGTTTATGTATGGTTTCTTTGCCAGCTGTGGTTATCGAGTTGGTTGATTGATTTGTTTGGTTTGACTTGACTGTTTGCGTTGATCTGGTATGCTTTGACTGAGTTGGTCGGCCGTTTGGCTGGCTGAGTCATTGCTTTGATTGCCAGTACGATTCTTTTGAATATATAGAAACATTGATTGAATTTAGGCATTCCATGAGCATGGAATAAATTATGGCACAAATGACCGCATGAATGTTTTGTCGATTGACTGGTTGATTCATTTGGTTAGTTTGTCAAATGGGTAAATGGTGGTTTGGCTGTTTGTATGTGCGCTTCATTTTTTATTGTTTGTTTGACTGCTTGCTGGGTCTTTGTTTGCTTGTTGGTTTGTTTCTTTGGTTGGTTGGCTTTGCTTTGCCATTTGCTGTACTCTGCGTTGCTGTTTGTTGTTTGGGTTTGGCTTGTGCAGCTGTTGGTGGTGTTCTTGCTTGGTTGTTCATTAGTTGATCTTCCTTTCCCTGTTGGCTTCCAATCTAAGGGTGGAAGTACATACCCCTTGTTCATACCCCTTGGCTTCCGTGGTTGCCAATCCACTTTATGCCCCTTTTGGGGAGAGGGGTATGAACATCAGCAGGCCTCTCAAGGGTTCATGTGTCCAAGGGGTATG